GATTCATTTAAATTCTTAAAGACATAAAAACAAAATAATTGAGTTCGTACTTACTCCTAAATTTAGAGAAGGTGAGGTACTTTGACATTGAAATAGGATTTATGTGAAACAGCTTTTGCAGAAGTCTGGTAACAGGGATATATAAGTTCTGGAACTGAAATTACATCCATGACACTTTTTTGCAATCTGTGAATATATCTCTTAATGTGGAGGTTATGTATGAAGGAACATCTCCAAACAAAACAGCTTTTGAGTATTATTTTGTGATGCAATTGTAGTTTGCATGATAAAGTATCATAATCATGTCTGTTGGAGAGCTATAAATGTTGCTTGTATATTACTTCTTTGGACTGTGAGTTGGATCGTTAATTGTGAATCTCATTCTGAGCGTCAATGTTTGAGGGAAAGCCATAAGACTAGAATGATAATAGACCTTAAGTTTCACCTAACATTGCTTAGCAGATTGTGTTGAATATCTTTTTAACATTTCTTCAGTTTTCCAGAAATGTTAAGAATGTTAAGCCAGCTTGGGACAGTATTTCTGTCTGCAGTATTTCTTTATTTCCTTATGAAATACAAAGATTGCCTGTAAACAGGATGTTTCCAAGTATTTTTAGGAAGTAATATATACTCTTGCTCAGGTTTAAAATTTTCTCATAGTAGGGTTGGCATCAGTGGCAATACCAGATTCTTGTAAAGAATAGAATTGATGATTTATATTCTTTAAAGTTGCAATACATTTTACTGGAACTGATATCATATTGTGAAATGCCATAATTTATCTGGGAAACTGTCAGAATTGTGCTGTGTTCTGCCAATATGGGATTGCATACCAATATGCTTATTTTTTACTGTGATAGAGACATTATGTACATGAAACTAAAAAGCAAGGAAAAGTGAATGACACCTGATTTATTATGAATGTTATTTATGCTTTTAGTCAAAGCAGTTTTTAGATTTCTTTAATAAGGCAAATTTGTGTCTCTTTTCAAGTTTCTTTTTTATTAGGTTGTTTTTGTATATTTGTAGTATTGCAGGGTTATGATATTATAATGACAATATATACAGGATTTGATGGCCTTATAATAATTAATACTGAGAAAGTGAACAATTTGCTATCTGCTCTTTCACTTTGGGAAAAGATTTTATAGATGAGTCAGAAATGATAGATGCCTGTATCAAGGAACAGATTGTGAGTTGAGCTGGAATACATTGTTCACACACCATTTTGCTAAGCAGAGAAATCATATAAGAGCAAATGGCAGTAATCTTTTAAAAGGTCAGTATAGCTATATAGTTTCTTGAGTAGGGTGCTCAATTTTCTGTTTGTTTTGGTTTTCATTAAACATAATCAAACTAAAGGAGAATATAATATGTGTATACTGTATAGACTAGAAATTTGCAAGCCGAGTGTATAGGTAAAAGATTAAGATGCTTTTTGTATTGCTTCGCACAGTGCCATTATATGAGAGTTCTGAGAGGTTTATATAGTACCATTGTATTTAGCCAAGAATGCTGCTTGTATATACATTTTCATTGGTGCATTTTTTTTTTACCATTTTGCATGTTTTCATAATATTAAAGGAAAAATTTATTTGGCAAAGTAGTTGTGTTTGATACAGGTTCAGTACTATTTTAGCATAATACACTCAAAACACAACAGAATAGTTGTTTCTGGAATGTTTAGTGTTATTATTACAGCGTTTGAAAAGTTTTTTAGAATCTTTACTTTTGAAATGAATAACCAGTGTTTTGCTTTAGTGTCTGTTGCAGTTTTTGGCCTAAAAGCAAATATTCAAAGAGCATTGATACCGAGTCTTCTTGCATTTCACAATGTAAAGCAGTTGGTGATTATGTCGTTTTTGGTAATGCTGACGCTGGCGGGTGGTTTTTCTGGTCGGCTCATTTTGGTTGTCAAGGTCTTTGGCATACCCTGGAAGAAGCGGCCTTTCCATTGCCATGCTTGAGGACCCTTAAACTGTCAGGTTGTCAAAGTTAATACCTGTTAGGAAGTTTATCAGTTTTGTAGGAGATAATTTGGGAATCTGATGTGTCGCTTTTAGGTTTCTGTTTGAAGAAAAGAGAAAGAAAATAAGGGCTTTTTCTGAGTTTCAAGTGAAATGCAGTTACATTGTCGTATTGATTTGTTTGAAAAAATTGTGAAGAGAGTGAACAGAGTCGTCTCTGTTTTTTTTGTTTTTTGCTTTTTGTTTTTTTTAAAGAGTGGTGTGCCATTTCAACTTCAAGATGCTAAATAGTGTTTAAAAAAAATCTTATTGCAATTACATTTGTAGGCCAGTGGAATTCTTAACTTTTCCGAGGTTGTAAAAACTGCTCAGAGCTGGTAATAGGTTCGGGACCATCATATCAAATTCTTTTCTCGAGACGCCTACAGTGAGTCTTCAGTGTAAATAAGGAACCAGTTTTAAAATTGGAATCCTCGTTTGCGTTCCAGTCTATTTGGGGATGTGATTTCTTCCTTTTGCTTTCTTGGAGTTCATACCATTATTATGATTTTCTTTCCGACTTTTAGTTTTGATTTTGATTCAGTTGACATTACCATCGTCACTGGCTTTGCCACTGTCATCAGTATCATGATTGTGACTATCATTATCATTATGAATAGTAATATATTATTTTTTATTATTATGATTATAATTATGATAATAATAATTATGATTAATTTTCTTTCTTCTTTTTAAGCATGGTTATTATTATAACCATTATTATTACTGTTATTATTATTATTATTAATATTATTATTATTATTATTATTATTATTATTATTATTATTATTATTATTATTATTGTTATCATTATCATTATCATTATCATCATCATCATCATCATCATCATCATCATCATCATCGTCATTATCATCATTATCATCATCAATATTATTATTATTATTATTATTATTATTATTATTATTATTATTATTATTATTATTGTTATTATTATTATTATTATTATTATTATTATTATTATTATTATTATTATTATTATTATTATAATATTATATTATAATTAAAATTATGATTATTAATGTTATTATTATTAATATTATTATTATTTTTTAAAATTATATTATTATTAGTTTTAATATTGATAGTAATACTGATATTGATATTGATATTGATATTGATGTGAATATAAATAAATTTAATATTAATATTGATATTGATATTAATATTAAGATTGATATTAATATTAGTACTGTTATTAATATTAATATTGATATAATTATTAATATTAATATTAATATATTGATATTAATATTAATTTTAAGATTGATATAGATATTAATAATGATATTGATATTAATATTAATATGGATATTGATATTAATATTGATATTGATAATGATATTTATATTGATATTAATATTGATATTGATATTAATATTCATGTTAATATATTGATATTGATATTTATATTAATGTTAATGTTAATATTAATATTAATATTAATATTAATATTAATATTAATATTAATATTAATATTAACCCACATCCAACGGGCATAGCACGTACATACGTACATGCTATGCCCACTGTGAGTTTACTTTATGAATTGTTTTTACACATAGGTGGCTACACTTGTCACCAGTGAGTTAATTATGAGAACTGCCTGTCTCACCTGTTTACCCCTTTTCCTTTTTGAAAAATTTTTCGTTATCTTATTATGCTGTTTCCAATTTCTATATCATTCTAGTAATTATAATGTCTATTATAAGAATAACATCATTGATATTCATAAATTTGGTGAAAAAAAAAAGCTTTTCCTGCCAATTCAAGGAAAGGGGAAATCAGGTAAGGTCACAAGGTCTATTAATTGACTCCTTTGGGGCTAAGCACTTGCAGAGCCATTTATGTACAGAGACATTTCACAAAGAAAAAAAAAAAAAAGGAAAAAAAAATTAGCACAGCATTTTCCTCGGCAGCATTGAGTTAATATTCATATTCATATTAATATTGATTCTAATTTTAATATTAATAATATTATTATTATTTATTTATTTATTTATTTATTTGAAGTTCAGTTTTAATTTCATTTCACTATCTCTCTCTACTACTAATTTACAAGAGTTAAGTTTGTGTTCAGGCAGTGATTTTTTGCAATTATTTATTGTGTTGTAATGTTCATTATGATTTAATTTGGAAAACTTGTTTTAACATAAGGTTACACATGAACATCATTAATATCGCTAACAGCATTATGATGTGTTAATATGAACACTGGTATGAAATATTTGTATTAGCAAGTCTTGTTCTTTGATACTGATAGCTACATATATGAAGCTTTTGCAATAGTACATGGAAAGATTATTTATTTGACTTGATGGCCAACTTTTTTGATGTTGGTCAAGTAATTATGCAATCCTTTTCATGGTTTCCTTTTGGATAATCCCCATGCCTGTAAAGCATGCATCAGCCTCCTCAAATGAATGTCCTATTTTGTATTTTAGCCATTGTTTTTTTTTGCAAGTGAGTGAGTGAGTGAGTGAGTGAGTGAGTGAGTGAGTGAGTGAGTGAGTGAGTGAGTGAGTGAGTGAGTGAGTGAGTGAGTGAGTGAGTGTGTGAGTGTGTGAGTGTGTGAGTGTGTGAGTGTGTGAGTGTGTGAGTGTGTGAGTGTGTGAGTGTGTGTGTGTGTGTGTGTGTGTGTGTGTGTGTGTGTGTGTGTGTGTGTGTGTGTGTGTGTGTGTGTGTGTGTGTGTGTGTGTGTGTGTGTGTGTGTGTGTGTGTGTTTTACCTTTTCATATCTAATTTTGCTTTAACTTACCTGACTTTTAGTATTATAGCAGACCTTGTGTTTTCTTACCTTATTTTTTCTTAACTTACCTTACCTTCCTTTCCTTTATCTGACCCTAGCTTATCTTGTCTTAACTTGCCCTACTCTACCATACCTCTCCATCCTTCCCTTTTTCTTCCTTCCCTTCCCTTCCCATCCCATCCTTTCCCTTCTATTCCCTACCCTTCCCTTCCCTTCCCTTCCTTTCC